GCCGTGACCATTTCGTCTGAACACGTATGTGGATGAATGATTTCTCGATGGCTTCATTTGGAGTATTTATATCTCTTATTCATACAAAATTTGTTTGCAGAGCTGTCTCCACAACACTACGCCTGATTCTATAAACAAAATCAAGGTTAACAAAGCTTCACCTCCTACGCTTCCGTGATAAGCGTGCATTTGAACCATATATTTGCGGTTAGTTTTAATTTTTTCTCACGATTAGATTTTCATAGATCCATTTTACACTCGATATGACGTCCTTAAAGTTGGGATATTCTATTCGTTGATGGGTGGCAGTCATTATAAGAAAACTAATTGCTATATTTGTTTCACGTTTGGCACCAAAGTGGTAATATGAAAAAAAACAATACCATTAATAAATAATAGTTCTTAACTTCTCAGTAACTGGTAGGCGTTTGTTTGACAGTCGAAGAAGGATATGTTTACTGCACAAACGACTTGAAACGTGCTATTGTTTGCATAGTTTGGACACCTAGCAACAAGCAACACCATTGATAAAATATGGTCCCACTACAGAGATCATATGACTGGTAGGCGTCATAATTTTAGCAGTATAGAGACGAAGCACAACAAGATGCGATAAAGCTCCTTAGGCGTTTTCTCACTCAAAACGTTATTACAAAACTTCAAGTTTCCAACGCAGACCACTAAGGAAACAAGTCCCTAGTAAGAACAAAAAGGCCGAAACACTCTAATCTTCAACAGCACTGAACATCAAGCACCTCGAAGCTACCTCTTGCATGGTTTTTACAAAAAAAGGTGCACAACCCGTTGACTCCGATGCTATAATATTGCCTGGCTAGGACCATGCATTTGCAGCTAAAATGTTGCGATCAATATCAAAGTGATCATATCGCTCGCTAGAATCGAAGGTTATGGGAGTATTAGTTTAAATCACAGTGACCAATAACTGCCACAGCCACATCCGTACTTGACATGAAATAAGGAGTAAAACAGTAAAAAAAGAAAGGGTCCAAGGGCATCAAAGTCATGTACATTTTCAGAATTGAGACTTCCTTCCCTTTACTATATCATTATCAGCAGTAAAAGGCTCCTGTTATCATCATCATCATCGTCATCATCATCAGTAGTAGTAGTAGTAGTAGTAGTAGTAGTAGTAGTAGTAGTAGTAGTAGTAGTAGTAGTAGTAGTAGTAGTAGTAGTAGTAGTAGTAGTAGTAGTAGTAGTAGTAGTAGTCGTCGTCGTCGTCGTCGTAGTGGTAGTAGTATATTCAAAATGGACAGACTGCAAATTATAGTAGTTGCTGAAAAATATATATCTACGTGTCGCAACTGTTCATCAATAGGATGCCTAAAATGCGTGCAATTCCACAATTGGTTTCGGTTCCATTAAATCCTATACCAATTGCAGAACATTTTAGGAGGAGCCACCCACCATGTGAGCAAAGTCACGGAGAACACATATAAGTGAGAAAAATAACGCAAAGTAAAATTAAGACGTTAAATAACGAACTAAATTTAAACGTCAGTTAAATAAATTATCATTACATTGCGTTATTGTTATTATTATTATCATTATCATCATCATTGTAGCGCCTCCCCTTTTTTATCGCATATGATGAGATTAATACAGAAGTTTTACATGTTGATACCACTGAAATACATTTATTGATTGATTGATGAAAATCTGATTAGTATGATGGCACTAATGGCTCCTATTTGTCTGACGTCGGTAAGCGCTAAACACCAAGAGTTGCACGAATTCATTGCGAAGGGGGAGGGTTTGAGGCGGCGTTCTCACTAACGCCTTTCTTGGACTCCCCCCACATACTCCACCGCGGTCAAATGAGAGAAATTTTCAAAAGCCAAGCAAAGTACTTCAAAGCTAAGGTTGCTACTCTTACTGTTTGAAGTTTAAAATATTCCCAAAACGCTGTTAATTGACGTCACCTTTTGAAAGTTTTCTTAAAAAAGTTCTACGTGTTCGAAAACTGGAACTGGTTTTACTGCCGGAGCGATGTTGTCACAGAATTTTTGACCCCGGCGGGGGGGTTTACTCGGTCGAGAAACGAAGGTTATTATTTGGAGAAAAATGCACAGATAGTCCAACTAAACTACGGCTTCGGACGTTCGACCGCGGTGGAGTCACAAACTGACAAAGGTCATGCATAACACATTACTACCAGTTTAACTGTTACCACCTACCTATCCTGCCGATAATTAGTTTTCTATTGCAGTCCAAAATTAATCTGTCAGATTTTTTCCACCTCATTTCCAGCTGAATAAATACATCTTCCAAAAGAATATTGAAAACAATGTTTAGTAAAGAAGCAAAATGAAAACATCAAGAAATTTGTCCTCTAAACAGTACCGCCAATGCCGGTAGGCTGGATTGAAATACTCTTGTTCTCTTCATGTAGTTATAGTCCGTTCCCTTCTGCGCTTATAGTTCCACGAGTTTCAAGAATATTTGGCTGTTCTGCCCTCGAATATAAGCACCAGAGATGACTCTATGTTTTTTCTTTCATCCAAATTGTTTATATTGTTAAACTAATATAAAAGCTTACTGTTGCTGATAAGAAAGTGGTAAACACTATTCTTTATCAACACATCATTTTGGTGAAAATCAAACAAGGCCAATCTTGGTTTCCGTATAGTCCGAATCTTATTGTAAAACAACAGCCCTCGTCACCAAGCGGGTCGTGAGCCTTAGGAGTAATCAAACGCGTTCGATGTACAGCGCCGAATTGAGGTTTTTGTCTATCTTGAAAAGGCAAACCTACTTTAAAATGTCCAGGTCGTCTCGCAGCATGTACTTTGTATATCAAATCACTCTGTTTGCACTATATGGAGCCTTGTTTTGCATCAGACAAAGTGACGGTAGGTAGCCGCAATAAGAGTGTAAAATAAAAGACTTGAAGTTAGGACGAGAATACCAATAGGCCCATGACAATGTCTGAAGATCAGCCTAAGTTTAACTGAGCGAAATTGGGTGACTAGATCAGTAAACGGTTCTCAGAAACGGCACAAAAATGAGTAACTTTGTCGAAGTCTAGTTTAAACGTTTGCTCGTAACAATAAGGATTCTTATCAAATAGTTTAGATCGAGCATTTTAATTCTATTCATGTTGGTATAAAGCGTGTTACCAGCAATTGACCTAGCTCAAACCTACAGTTGTAGCTGCAATAATGTAACTCGACAATTAATGTGCAAGGTAAGATCCCGTAAAAATAGATAAATTTGAAAAGTAGTTTGTCTTGTAGAGATTGCCTGCTGTCAGAAATATTGAGAATCAGTCTTCTCCTGGGCAAACAAAATATAAGCATGATCCGGATATTATATGAATAATCTCACTGGATCCAGCTTTATCTCGTTGTGCTCGTCATCAGCCCTCAGATTCAGGGTCTTTTTACAGTAACACAATAAAAGAGAATAAAATAACTACTCATTCACTCTTAGCTACTCTTTACTGAAAAAATGCTTATTAATGCTCTAAGGCAATTGAAATGATTGAACAAGAAAAGCATTAGATTCATAGTCGACATTGTCACGGAAAAATTCTCTGTGGATCGGCGACAAAAAGATATAGATGTTTCAGGTAAATAAAATACTGCCAACGAAAAAGGTTTCAATCGAACAAACCCGAATAAACCCGGCCATGGTCGATTTTAAGTGATTTTAATGTTTTCCCCTTATCTGGTTGTGCTTGTTAGCGTACGACTACTTTAGTTTTACAGCGAAACTAGAGCCGATGCACACGACAGGAACGACAAACAATTTATGCAGGAAAGGGTAAAAAGGTATTGATTAATACTTGCTCTGACGCATGTGAGTAACCAAATGTCACAAAAGGCTCTTAACAACGGAGAGACATCCATATATTCAATAAATCTCCGGCTGTAAGCGCCGGAGTTATATTTTCAAAAGCAAGGCCAAGGGAAATATACGACCTCCAGAGACAACAGATAACGTCGATAACAGTAAGTTGAAAAGACCTTGATGCAGCGGACAGAGAAGTCTAGCGTTTTGACAACAGAGACCGACGCATAGAGACGTTTTACTCGGAGCAGGGAGAGCGTGGGTGACCCCCATATAATTCGGGCGGGATGTTCGTGCCGAAGGGAGTTTTACATGAGACAGTATAATCTAAGCATTGCGATCAGTTTTACCGTTTCTCGACTCTTCGGTCAAATATAGTTTTTGCGTCAACCACAGGGAGCTCGAACGCGCTTTATAAAACTATCTATAAGCTATAAAGGTTACTAATAATATAAAACGATTTACCTGTACGTCTTTGTCAGCTTTCTCAAGTCGTTTTACAAGCGATTTGCATTAACGCAAAGACGGTTTCTCCATTCAGTTTTAAAACGCGATCGCTTCATGATCATGCAGATGCGTTGGAACCTGGAGACGACATTCGTGTCATTTTTCAATTATTAACTAACATTTTGTTAATGTAATACAGTGAAACCTGTATTAAGCGGACACCGTATTAAGCGGATCCTCGCTATAAAGCGGACAGTAGCCGAAGTCCCAAAATTTATTTCCCTTGTTTACTTTAAATGAAACGTTTAGTGAGCGGACACTTCTATTAAGCGGACGAGGACACCTAAAAAGCACCTGAAATGGTCGCGCAAGGGAAAATTGAATGAAAAAAAATCCATGCACGCCAAATAACGGTCAATTATTTCGCATCATATGTTGGAAGAGAACATTTTTGTCTTGGCCAGAGAGCTAATTAACCGTTACTACAATTTTGCGTCGAACCTTTCTTTGGTATTCATTTCAGTATAACATTCATCTGATTCATCAAAGATTCATGCACCCTCATTATTTTTGAAATTTTACAAGAACGTTCAATTTTGCATGCAGCTCTTAGTGGTCCTTAGTACCGGATGAGTACCATTTTCCACACGCAAAGACAAGCATTCATTTTCACATTGAAACTTCTTGCTTTAACGTTAATTTTATGTTGTAGCTGAAACAACCAAGACATTGAAAGCCTT